TTGTTTTACTTACCGTAAATTTTTATGGGTGCGCACATGACGGAATAATCCGGGACAGAGTATGCGGGGGTGTTTATCGGGACCCTGTACACTGGTTTGCCGGTGACAATGTAGAGGATGCACAAGTGACGGACCAAGGGATGTCTCACTCGGAGGGGCGGTCACAGTGAGGACAGGCTGGAAGTGAGTCCGAATTCCCGGTGAATGGGGCAATGGTGGGCAAGATGGTAGAAGTGCCCTCACTGGTTGTGGTGATGGTGCTAGTAGTAGTATCAGTAGTAGTTGTAGTAGTAGTGTCGGTGCTAGTGTCTTGTGAGCCGAGTGTCGGGTTGGGTGTGCTGACATTACACTGGGCCCGTACATGTCCAATGACACCAATCCATGTCTTGAATATCTTAATGACAGCATGGGCACAATGGCGGTAGTTGGTGGCTTGAGTCGGCAGTTCACGACACATGAGCCCTGAGAATTTCTATTTTCTACTTGGCTGCCGCGACTCGGTTGGTGACATCGCTGTGTCAGGTGCTCATTATCCACCACGATGTGGCTGCTCTAACGCAGTCATATCCTCCACAACATGACGCGGATACTGAGGACGCCGTCCTTTTCGGGATCTCTGTGTCCAGAGTCTTTCCTTATCACTTCATCAGAAGTATTCTTCAGAGGCAATGGAGGTGAAAACGATTGAGTTTTCATGCTTGGCCTTCTTGCACGGTCCTCATCTCCGCCTCATACAAGAGCGTTGTAAAGACAGCAGTTCCAGTTGTGTGTTGAGGAAGATGCCGCGACGATCTCAGAGGGAGCACCATAATCAATTAAAGTGCCGGTTGGTCATGTCGTTTTAGTTCTTGATGTTCCTAGAAATTGCATTTTCTAGATGCGCGAATTTGTACCGTGGTGCGGAGCGAGTTTCACTGATATTGATACGGACTTCACTGTAGTCAGCATTTAACGCTGGTTAATGCATGACTATCGTTTTCTCCAAGCTGATTATCAGTCCAAAGTTTGGGCAGCCGGAGGCAAATATATATAGACTCCTCTGCATGCACTCATCTATCGTTGTATCTTGTGCGCAATCTTCCGCAGACAGGAATCCACGGACAGTGACTTTGAAGACTCTCAATGATGACGTTATGATATGGCATTATAGTGTACTGATGTACCAGAAGTACACTGCCACTGTCGAAGTCAACAGGACGCCCGGGTAAAAAGCCTTTATTTATAAACCTAGAGGAATTTAACTTCTACTGCACAGTCCTTTTAAGGGCTTATACCGCGACCAAATATTTTGGACTGCACACTTTCTTAGAGGTTGATTGACGAATGCAGTGGCCAGTAGCTCAGTGACATTCCAGATTTGGTAAATAATGCCCTACGACCCCTCTCACTCTGGGACAGAAACACACCGTTTTGGGAAGCCGATGAGCTTTCGTTTCATTCGCTTTCTGACTTGTCGCGTTGAGGACTGACTGACGCGCAAATACCACTGGTAGTTTGGTCGTATGCTCTTTGGAACATCACCCGTCTGCCATGTGGGTTGAGCACGTCGGATGTGGTGTGTAGTCACAAGTGCTGGACTGGGGTGTGAATGACTGACGAGTTCATTGAACGGTTTCGAAATGGCTTTCTTCTAAGCCTTTCCCGCCCTTGGCCTATTTGTGCCATTTTAAGTGGCCGTATGATCAGGATTCTTTTCAAGAGAGTACGAGACTATTTTGGTCCCAATCGTCAGACAGGTCATGTAGGTCCATTTCATAATTTGCATCTATGCCATCTTCAGTCTATTTATATGCGCGCATCTATGCATAATAAAACACTCGAATTTGACGAACTACTTTGTCTCACGCAGGTAGCACACACCTCGCGCTAGTCTACGCAGATCCCCCGAAATCGGATACAAATGCTAACTTGTCTCGTTTAATTGGAATCGTCACCATGGAGGATGTCATTGAAGAAATCATGCAGGAAGAAATCGTGGATGAGACAGATATATTTAGTGAGTTTACGTTTTTAAAAGTGAGCTGTTAAAACTGAGGTCCGAATCCAACTATTTCAATGAGTAGAGCGGCTGTACTTTCGTCTTCCGAAAACACAAGTTGTCTATGTAATTGAAGCCATCACGTCGTCTACAGACCTCCGAACGGGACGGTTAGAGACAACAACTTGACAAAAAATGCATTATTCCTCAATTCAACGGCATAGTTTGCAGTGCGCGGATACTTCAGAGATATCCCGACTGGGGGAAGTAGTGGAGGTAATAACGACGGACAGGTGGTAACGACGCATCAAAAGCGGCAGGCTTGTTTCGCGTTCTCCCGACTTACTTCAACCCATCACTACTTTGGACTGATGGACACATTTCATGTTTAGTCCTTCTACCGCCTAGTGTATCTATGGCAATTGACGCAGGATTGCTCTAGTTGTGTACCGCCGACTTCATATGGTATTGTTTGTTTCGATCTGTTACAGCGCTCCTTCGTTGGTTCTACCCTGCATATTATCTGGTTGACTTCCTGTCGGAAAATAGCAAGATTATTTTCGCAGTTAGCAAAGGCAAGTAGATGTAAGAATGTGGAATAGTATTACCGACAAAGACAAGGGAGGCTGGAATAGCCATTTCTGGCTTATTAGCCGTCGTCAGCCGGCCTATACAACCGCGAGGTGTGCCACCCTTGGGGCTCGATCCCGCGACATGCTGGTTAGAAGTTCAACGCCCTAATCACTAAGCCCCGGTTTTGTTGTCCTGTCTGTTGCGATCGGGCATGTACAGTGGTGGAGGACGCTCACCGAGCGCATTACGAAACTCACTGGTCCCGTTGTACCTTGGGGCTTTCTCGAGTTCCAGGGCATAGGGGGACGATTGAGTTTCGTAACGCGATTGATGAGCGTCCTCTACCATTGTAAACGTGTAACTTGCTCTCCTTCCAATATTTATAGTCTAGATCATAGGGAGCTGAATTCCGCAAGTCGGTTTGTCTTTGAAAGGATGCAAAAGATGTTAAGCCCGCTTGCCTCCTGGAGCACAACCGTTTAGTTGTTGCCAACTCATAGACGGAAGGAATTTGGGATAAAACAGTGAAATTCTGCAGAAGTTAAAATAAAAAAATTTTTTTTAAAGTTGCTTGGAATCGGAAATATTCAAATAAAGTTACTTCGAAGAAATAGATGTAGAACGTCGACGAAAATCAGAATTGCAGTGTTTATTAGAGATCAAAGACTTCGCCTATTTACATTTGCTTTGTTTCGATTAACTGTGCATACTTGGCATAAATACAGGCGATTGGCCACACTGAATGAGGAAACGTAGCTGGATTGTGCCAAACCACCATACATTAACTTATAACAGACACCAAATCCACTCTCAGAGGATAGTAGTTGTGCTAAGAAGGATAGAAAACTAAAAAGCATCCCCTGCATTCTGAGCACGGTTGGTTCTGCATGGCCCCTGTCCTTCCGGATTTCTTCAGACGCCTCTATACCGAACCCTACAGCTTACTATGTCTCTTACAACTTATGATGCATTTTGATTTATTAAATTCTTTCAACTTATAGCGGATAACAAACGAAAGAAGAAACGAAGTATGCGATGTCCAAACATGGATCTCTGGCCAATACTGAATTTTCAAACTGGCAGTAGAATAACACCTCAATTAAAGATAGCTGTGCTCCGGCATCTTGTTGCCAGTAAGTCGTTTGATTTTCCCTCTTCAGTCCTTCAAACCTGCGTCGTTTTTTTGCCAAGTCTGCTTTGTACCAACGAAGCATGCAGATGTTCATATCGGGAAGGGTGCGCGTTATGATATTGGCCAGTAGGACTGAGTAGAAGAGGTAACAATATTGAGTGGGAACAAACATATTTAGTTCAAAGGGTTGACATTTTCAAAAAAGCGTGCGAACAGCTGGAGTTGTGCGAATGGCTTACTCTTTCGGGTCACCGATGATAACAATTAGACAGGTAAAAAAACACCTATGTAGGTCGAACTTCAGGGATCGCCACCAAAAACACATGTTACTCAAAAATTTGCGGCCAAGTATTTTTTTTAACAGCACAAGGCCTTCTAAGCTTACTTACTTTGCAAACTTAGGTGGCACCTATTTTTTACTACCGTACGGCACAAGAGGGAGGCAAAGTGTAAATATAAATAATTTTTTTCAAACTACTTTCGTCAAATAGCACACATAGAAATAATGAGATTGGCCTCGATCTGACGAAAAGCTCATGTCCGTTAGTGTTCCGAGGTAACTTTTACATTCGGCTTCAGACATTTGGAGAAATCATTGATGCACAGGGTCATCTTTAACGAAGAAACAGGCGTAGTCAAAGTAGGATCTTCCTTGACCGTAGATCCTGCCTACTTTGCATCCCAAAGGGACATTTATGTGGCGAGTGAAGTGCTTTCTGCATTGGCGCTTAGCAGTACAGAATTTTGGGGATTGAGAAATTTTCTATGGCAAACAGTAGGGAACTGACAGTTCTCACACCTGGCGGCAATCGTCTTTTGGACTGAGCCTCGCTCCTAATACTCTGCTGTAATAAACGCTGCGCTTGCGATAGTGGTAATACTAAAACATCAACGAACGTAGTACGATGGCGTTACTACTCAGCCGAGGATTTTTACTGTCCAATTGTTCCGCACATTTGATGCAATTCCATTTTTTCGAACTTCACTTGCTCTACATTTTTATGAAATATCAATTTCAACGTGTGGAAACTTTCACGACACCCAACAATTTGGTTTTATGTTTAGATACCATACCGTTCGGGCCCAAGTATGCACATACGCTGATACTTCAGGGCTTCTTGAACTGCTCCTTCGCCAAAGAAGTAGTATCAGAGTAAGCAGTTTGACTGTAGTTCTGCACATATTACTTGCCATTCTTCTATTAGAAGGAAATACTACATGCGTCCAGAGGAACTTTAACATCGCAAAAAGACAAAGGATCCCAACCAGTCTATTCGGGCTGTGTTGGAAAACAGTTCGTTGGATATGTCCCGATGCATGAGTTACTCTAAAGTGTAAGGTGTACCGCCGCCTTTGCCCTGCCGAACTGCGGGTTGCCTTGTTTTTACATGACTATGAGTATGCGTGTTAACAATAAGGTCTTAGGCAACTTGCTTTTGACTTCCATAATCGTTTATTGCCTCGTACGGCTTACCAAGAGCAATACTTTATTCCACACGAGGCGGGCCTTTCTTCGATTTGTTTTCCTTCCATAAACTTATTCTCATAAGCTGCTCCGAGAGGGATCTTAGTTTGCTTTCAGGATCCACGCATGACGGCACACTTAGGTCATAATGAATGACCACCTTTTGCACCTGGGCGTGCATACTCCAATGTCCAAAATAAGGAAAAGCAGATACGAGCTCACCAGACCGGCTTCTACAGACTTCCATGCCAGGATTGACTAAATCTTTCAAAAAGACCCAGCTGTGACCGGAGGGAAAGTTGTATTTATTAAACAACCCTCGTATGAAGAATGTTTCTCGACGAACAGTACACTCTCCTGAGCGTTCTTTGCAAGTAACTTCACCAAAAGTCCATTTATTCTTCCAGTTATGTTCATTACTATGATCTAGTCCCTTTTCATCCCGATACCACCGTCTGCATGCCTCATGGGTATAACGTAAGGTAATATAGGCCGATGCATGACATGGAGGCCAGGACAGGTTGGATGACAGGATTCGCACAAACAGGGAAGAACAAAAAGGTAGGTAACGATATCGGAACTTCGATTAGTGAAGAACTCGACCGCCGCAGAATGCTTTAGTATTGCGCTATTGAGCTGAGAAAAGGAAGCACCGGCGGCAGACGAGAGAGTGCAAGGGAAACGTTCCGACACGTGAATGTCCTTCATTATAACCGTGGAGGATAATTACCGCTGCCAGACTTGACTAATTGGGCTCGGAAAGAAAAGTAACCTGCGAACCAAGATACGGTCCAACCAGGAGAGCAATGATTGGATACTTTATAAAGGAGGAAATGTCATGGAACAGTATTGAGAACAGAGAAATAAGCAAGAAACGCACATGCGTGCTCAAGAGTACACTCGCCTAGACCTCCGAGAGAAGGATTAATCACCAGGGCAACAGCATCGGAGATACTACACCTGGTCCTATAGGTAAGTTGCGAAACTTTCCACAAAATGGACGAAATTACTTGATGTTTGTGGTGACTCGCTCAACTAGCTTCTGAGGAGCGGACGAACATGTAGCCGGATTGCAGGCATTAGGACCAACACTATCCGGTTTCCAGAGATGTAGATGACTCTTACATTACACCAAGAACAAGGTATCTCCCGTGCCTTGAAAGACGGCGAAATAAAAAGCAGCATGTTTGCGATACGTTCGTAGGAAACCAATTTTCTGATCGAGCCATGTTTTCGGAAAAAAACCAGAACCTTTCGCCAGAAAACCACTCAAGCAATGGAAGGGACCGTTGCAACTCACCCCATTCACGCACGGGCTCCTTAGACTGGTTGAGTAGGTTAAACTGGCTAAATGATAACCCCTAAACTATGTACTTTATAACGGTTTGCAATTATACTACGTGCCAATGCGTACACCCAGAAATCTAGTATTTTGTTCATTCATCGTCACAACTCAGTGCTGAGAGCAGTCCGGAGACGTGAACTGCATGCTATAGCCTTGTGGAAACGAACGTTCAATGTTTTCGCTTTAGGTTGGAGTCTACTTTTCGTTTGGGATTTAATTTGCTCATAGATGTTGTTTGATATTCTCAACTCAATCCGAATTATTGAATGTAAACGCTTTGCTCGAGAACAGCTGATGTCAAGGTTATAGCAAGGTACACTGTCATATAGCGAGTCAGATAATCGTTTCGTTGAAGAAAAGTTGCACTAATCTGCAAGCGCATGGATATGACCCGAAGAAAGGGGGGGGTCCTACACCCTTAGGCGAGCCGTTTTACCGCACTGCAACCGTGGAACATCGTCCTTATCCTTTTTTTTAAATAGAAGGAACTCTTTTCACCCATTGCCCCTTGTGTCCGCAACGGTTTTTCAACAGTGACAACAAGGAAAAAAGCCAAGCGCTCTACGAGGCAGGCAAGGAGTCCAACAAGGCCGTATTTACTCTCCAAGGCTCTTTGACTGTCGAATTCACGGAAACTCATCTACAGTTTGAGGCGGGAGCATTCACTCTCTTCGGTGAATCAATACTCTCTAGTAAGTTGTCTTGTTTGACTTTGACGAGTAAAGTAGAGCAGAGCCGTCAGGCTTCGGAGACAAATACTTAAGCACAGCCAACTCGGTATCTCCGAAGGTTACCAATAAGGCGCCACATTTATTTAACTGTCAAAAACAGTTACTTGTGGCATAAAGAAAGTCTTAAGCTCTTGTTTGTCAAAAAGTAGGAATTTGTGGCAGGCTACGGGAGCAGGGGCAGAGGACTAGCGCAGAATGCTGTCAGGAGAACCGCTTAACCACAACAACTGATTACCGTCAAATGGCTTGCATATTTTGGACTCTCATTTCGACAGCTCGCTTCAACCGGCGCCCAAGTCACTCAGTAGCATGCACATGAGAGGTGTGATTGGTCCCCCCGGCTCGGCAACGATTTAAAGCATGGTTTCCAACAGAATCGTAGGGGAAATATGCAGACGAACAATGCAGGGTAGCTTCCTGCGCCGCCCTACGTGTCTGCAATAATTGACACCACAACGATTCTATGGGTTAGTTCAGTTGATGTAAATGCGGAAGAGGATATTCACAGCCTTACGATCAAGAAGGCATTAAACCGTCAATTTAACAACCCAAGAACTCATCCTCATCTGCTTTGCGACTTGAGCATCCTAGTTCGTTTTCCCCGAATCCAACCTGGGAAGTTTGTTTAGTCAAATTATTTGCTCTTTTTCAAAAAACATAAGTTTCGGAGGGCATAGCTGAATGCGAGATTAGTGCTCTGCCTGGGGCACAGCCGATTTGGTAACAAAACTTAACCGGGAGCTCTGGTCTGAATAATGCCGGATGCCATCTCAAGTTGTCTTCCAACCCTAGGTTACTAGTTCCAATACATGCGCGCTTCTTGCATTTACGCCAAAATAACGAATCGCTTATCTTCAGATATAAACGAAACCTTCCCGGTACTTCCCGATGACTGGAACTTGGAGGCTCTTCTCCAAACTCTGGGCAATAAGGCGAGATTTACTCCAGATTTCAATACGCGCGTAACATCGGATGTCCTTTTTCTGGAAATAACAGCCGAAAAGTATCTGCTTATTCGCTATCTCAGTCAGAAGATTCAGACAGGCAAGTCCCTAGTGGTTTGTCAACACCTCTGATATTACTTCTCCCGTGACACGTCTATTACCTTTGAAACTAAACTGATGTAGGACAAGGGCAAGAGACCATCAGGAATCGGTATTCTCGTGCAGAAATCAGACGCTCCGCGACAGGATCAGGCCACTGACCTCGATCCACCGTTAGGGACTTCAGCATTCATAGAGACTCGACTACTGGAGCACGACTTTTATTAGCCTGACATTTCGGATTCATTTTCGAAACCACTGTCATCACGCCTTGTCGTCTATAATGATGGGTTCAAGAACGAAACGTGAGGTAGATAAAATGATCGTTCCAACGGTTGAGTCCCTACTTTGTCCATCCTTTCTTGTTTGACGAAAATTAAATAAAATTCCGGTTCCAGAAAGGCACTGTTAGCTGCCACCGCGATAATACGACAGGGAACCCAGAGCGAAGTAAGGGCTAGAAGGAACGGCTCCGTCCTGACACTTCTGAAATGAAAAATACTCGAAATAACATGAATTCCAGGCCACTCCTGCCTGGACCTTCTGAGTTACTTGTACTTGATACGGCTGCGATCATGCCTGATTTAGCCGGCCTCGATGATGTCCCGAATTGTACCTCTCCACGCGTGAGTAGTCCAGCTCGCATACTATTCGCCCGCACCACTGGACTAGGGTTGCGGAGCGCGTCGGTTCCCGCGGACACCGTAGCATGGGTCGTAATACTGTGATTGGACATGTTGCATGAGGTTTCTTGGGAATTTCGAATACGGGCGGGTCCCCAACAGCCGCTCGGATTGTTTGTTCGAGGTTGTCTCCTCTAGCGCTTTGGCTTAAAAACCTAACCACAAGGCAGCGGTGGCAAGTAAACTTATTTAATGGCGGTTTACGGTCGCCATGTCACAATGCCGTCATTGGGCTTTGCGGCATTTTATAAGGCTTTCAGCGTGCCAGACTTCAGCCCACCGCACCCTGGTAGCAATGTCGCTGCTGGTCCGCGACTGCTTATTCGTCAAACCTGGGTCTGCTTATTTCGCAGCTAACCTTCACTGAAGGTCGTCCCACTATCCGCCACCTGTGGACGCGCCGGGTAGCCAGCAGCAAGGCTAACGGGCAACCCGTCTTCTGACTGACAGGATTTAGTAAAGAAATTGCAGCTACGACCAAAGATTTCAGGAGACGAAGAATTTGCGAAGCAAAATCAGCGGGGATAGAGATAAGCAGCTTTAGCTCTCTGGTCGGCCCAATAATAGAAAACATGAAAATAATGACCACTCATCTCCTAAGGCAGACATTGCAGTGACCAACGCTATACCTGAAATGCAAACATGATGAACTGGGATGCGAAAAAAACCATTCTGAGCCATGCTTATCCGTTTTCCTCAACCGATCTTCGTCGACCGGCACCGCAACTCAGCATCAAAACCCGCTCCCAGAATCGTCGCAAAACGTCTGCTAGCAGGTTTCTCTATAAATAGTCCTGCAGCTAGCTGTCACTAACGCCTCGGAACAATTTTTAGAAGGGTTACAAACGTCTCTGAGTCCGAACCACCCCTTTAATTAATTTGAACTTTCACACACATACGCTGAAAGCTAGTCAAAGCTATCATTTTAGCCCCGAAGTAAGGTGTGCGAAAATACGTACCTTAGGGTGGTCAGATAATTTTTTCCATAACAGGTAGCAATTCAAGCGTATCACATACGGCATCCTTCCCGGTCCGCTTTCTGCTCGCCGCCATTTTCTGGCAAAATGCGAGATACTTTTGAGACTTAAATCCGTCAGTTCAATAAAAACGTACGCTTGCAAGCGTAACTGCTTTCGACTTAGTGGGACCTTTCACTAAAAGTAATGGGCTGCGGGCATAGCTCGCAATTTCAATGAGACTTTCATGAAATACACGGGACCAGATTACTTTTGAGGACGTTTTACTAGGTCTGGCGTTGGAGAAGAAATAAACTTTCCTTTTAAACCTCTTTATTTTGACCAGAGCAACTGTCCGCAGACCGACATGGAGCAGTGGTCCAGTTGTTTGAAAAGTTTTGGGAAAGAAGACACTCAAAGAATCTGCAGATTCTCCATGACAGCTCAGGTGTGAGTCTGACGGAGGAGAGCAGAGACGTGGAAAAACTGTCTGGGCATCATTTGCAGCCCGACAGTCTACATCGCCTCAGCAGCTAGATGAGGCATTGGACAGTTTTCTCACACAGCCTACTCCGGAGAGATAGCCGCACAAGATATGGACAAAGAAGGATGAAGTGAAGCTTTAAAAACGTTGGGTAGCCTGCAACAAGAGATGGCGTTGCAGTGAGCTTCATGATCACCGCATCTCAATGGAGCGCAACTGGCTCTTCTTCATCTTTTTCAGCTTTTTCGTATTCTTTATCTGTGCAGACAGAAAGAGGAGTTAAGGGTGAAAGGTGTACAAAAAAGCTACCGGAACAACAACCTCGGCTCTTCTTTCATTCTCTTTTTTGCGTTCTGCGCGGGCCTCTTCAGCAAGTCGTTTGGCCTCCTTGCGTTTAGCCCGTTGCGCACGCCGCTCGGCATCAGCAGCCCTACGATTCTGTAGCTCAGTCTTCAGTGCCACTTTCTCTTCCCATGTACTTCGGAGGCCTTTATCACGACGTATGGAAGAGTACCTGAAGAGTACATGACGGTAAAGTACATCGAAGGCTAATACTAAGGTGGTGAAATAGCGTAGAGCACACATAGAGTACTGATGAAGGGTCTCACCTCTTTGTACGGGTTGTCTTCCACACGCGACCAGACTTCGGCTTCCCCCGAACAGCCTTGGGTTTTGCCATGGCAGGAGAATTATGATGTCTCTAGGTTTATTACCTGGAGCAGAAGTTCAAATAAGAGGTTGCTAATTAATAATTGGTGGACAGGTGTACTCAAGTAGTTGGTAAGATGCCATATATAGAACAATTAGAATGCAACGGAGAATGCTTAAGCTTCATGGACGAGGTAGGGAACGTTAGGCAATACCTCAATATGAATAATTACTTCTTCGTGCAAGAACCGACTTCATGTCTTCAAGACGGATTAAAAGAGTCAGTTATAGATAGTTAGAGATCTTGGCAACAATTCAGTATTTCTGATATAACTGTGGCCCAGATGCAATGTTTATATATGGAACACAAGAAAAACAAATTGGTTACAGACCGTCTACCGACAAAAATAAATGAAGGACGATGGTTTTTCTAAAATTTCGAATTTGAGCTACACCAAGTGTTCGTTTGTGATGATCAGGTTTAATTCGCCAGGCAGCTTAATGCGTCAGAAATGTTGCCTGGAAGATAATGCAAAGGAAGATTTAGGATTGATGGTTTATTAAGAGCTTCTGAAAGTCTGTCGTAGGACCTATCGTATCAGAATATATCCAGTGGATTGTCGTTAGTAATCCAGTCCAAAACCGTAAACTAGGCAAGAACATGGGCGACTGTGGCTTCGACACGTGGGCAAAACCGATGGCATGCTAAATTTATAACAATCACACTTACTATGTAAAGTTTAAGGTCCTGTTGTCAAGAATATAGTATTGAAATTTCAACAAGTGTTTGGAATCCAAGAGCTCTAAACCGACAGGATCTGGTGGTAGCAAGCGTATCGAAACGAACGAGTCTAAGTCAAGCTTGCTCATAGTGATAGATACGGAGCATCAGAGAAACTATCCATGTTTTCAGAGCGCACGCATAATTAGCTATTTCAGTAAGATGTCGACTGGTCCACAAACCATTTCTGGATGTAGGCAGCCAAGTGATTATAAGGGATTGCCAAAGGCAGCAAAATACATGACCCGAGAACGGATGGCATCGTTCTCTATGGTGTCCGTCATATTCCGAAATCGATTGTTTTTTGGCTTAATATGACCAGAGGTGTATGCACGACGACCGATATTGACTTATTTGATGGTATGTAAAATGTCGGAACAAAAGGAGATTGCTCTGTTTATTATAAGGGGACAGTGCTTCAGTCGGTCGGTCAAATCTGGCAGCAAAAACAGCGAACGTTTTTGCGGTGTCCGGAGTTCATATATCTACCCAAAGGACAAACGCAGCGGCAGATGAAATAAGCTCTCCACTAACTCTGCGGCGTGGATTGAAGCCAAGAAGCATGACAACGTACGCAAAAGTAATGCGGAAGAGAGTTTACTCCGCTGTCGTGAGGAATATCTCTAGGTACCTCGATTTTTGTTCAGAGAGGGATCTCCATAGCATCCACCTTACGTTATACATACCACGGTACGAACGCCTAGATGAACGCAAATAATAAGTCTGACGAACTGACTAGTCTAAAAATTTTATGGATGAATGACTTCTTAACGCCAATGAGAGCTGAATATGGTCTTACGAAAGGAGATAATCACAAAACCAACAGATCTTGGTTGCCAGAGAAAGTATACAAACTACAAAGGAGTTGGTGTTTCAAATATTTTAGAAGGGATGTTGGAATCGGAATTCAATTATCCATAAGTTTTTAGTCCTTTCGTTGTCCCCTAGCGGAGAACTTTGTGTTAGACCACATAATTTCCTTTCAGAGGCAATCGATATTCACTGTGCCGTTGTTATCTCTGAACATTTATCTGAGTTGAACGCATGGCAAGCGGCACGGAAAATCATACTTCACTCTTTTCGCTTAGATAACAGGTGGTGCTGGGAATTCACAGAGACATTGTCTTGCTGGAGACACTAGTTGGAAACATGATAGGCAAGTCCGTTATCTTAACGCACTGAATGCTAAAAAAGTAGTTAAAGTCCACCATCATCGATCACATGATTATGAGACAGAAACCAGGAGTAAAGCGGACACAGAACACAACTTTTGGAAAGAGAGAGAGAGGAGAGATCACAGATCTGCACTCTTCGAGAGCTAACCAGATAAGGATTCGTAAAAGAAGCAAGGTCGCCGCAAGCTGATATAAAAGGCCACACATACACGGAACCTGTAGAGTCCATCCATGCCCAAGGGAGCGAATAACATCAAGGTTAACATTGGGAAATAGGCACCTGTCACGGCGTAGAACCAAATGAGGGGAAAACATACCACAAATTCACATTTAGACCAACCCTGAGTGATAGTGACACGGTCAAAAGATCTAAATTCTACCGATTTTTCTTCAAGTAGAAAATGGCAGCATTTAATGGGAACAAATAAATTCCTGCTATCCCTACCTTCTTCTGCCAAGCGATATGGATACGGCAAACTACAGAAAGACGTGCATGGGGAAGAGTCAGACGAGCAAATGTTACCCACAGGAGGCTTCTCGGACCGAAGTGCGAAAGAAAACAAGGGAGAGAGCATGGCTAGCTGCTCATGCACCGCGTTTGGTCGCACAGTCTTTTTTCGTCAACCGAGTGCTGGATCTATGTAAGCGTCCAGTTGGCATGGTTCGATCAGCTGGATACGATGGCCAATGGCCAAAAAATACCAGAGAACGCTCAGCACCGAAATATGGGTAGCTAGAATACCCACCCATAGCCCTACCAATAAACCGAGCGAAGATAATCATCAGCAAATTAATTTGTCGATTGGATCAGCAAGTTGGCCAGTTCATTTCATTTTTATAGAGGGAAATGTAGGTCTATACCTTTGAACTCCTTATTTGGTTACAAGCCGCTGAAAAATCCCAAAAACTGGAAAATGTATCATAAAGGTAACAAATAATCGGAAAAGCGTCAACTCTGTACAGGTAAACAAACTGTCTCGAGTGTTAGTGGTGCGAGCAGTAGCACAGTGGTCGTTTCGAATGCAGGGAGATAAATAATATCCTCGCCTGCACTGAGATCATCATGCTAAAAAGGTACAAATTGGGTACAATAAATACTCGTAAAAATGTTAAAAATGGACAGCGTACGTATAAAAACTAGTTCACACCGAGAAGTCGGAGAGCGCAATGGAACTTCGAAAATGCGCGGTGTAGTAGTGACCAGCTTGACCTAGAGAATGTCGAGGCGCTTGTGTACACTCTCCGAACGGTTTGCAAAGACCCCGTTAAGGCATACCTCAATCCGTTCTGTAATCATCACGAAGTCGAGAACATATTTATTTGGACAAAAAACTTAGTCAGTATACAATAGTGAATGCGAAGAATGGCAGCCACGACTGAAACCCACAAGTTTTGATGGCAGAATAGGGAAATAAAACTACTAATTATGGAAAAATAAAATTAGGGCGAACGCGGGTGAGGAGGATAAATGATAGAAATGGTCGACGACGGATGAAGGAAGAGGAAAGAGGGATAATACTAGAGGGATCATGCAGCGGTTTCCGATGTCCCAATAAAAGAACGCAAAAATTGTTTCGTTTGTCCGAATACTTCGGAACTCTGCACGTTTCACGGCCGTACTCGGAAACTAAAGTGTGCGCATCAAAGACGCTTGGAATTACTTAAACCATAGAAATAGCAGATGAAGCATTTGTGAATGAGACACGTGTCTCAGCTAACCAAGACCCTACCGACTAACATGGGGAGAGTGCGCAGGGACGAGATAGAAGGAGCGAGAAAATGGGACCTTGAAAATATGCTCTTCATTCAGTCTCGTCCTCTAAAAATAAATGACGAAAATTGACTGATCTACAGGTGATCTCCGAAAAACCACTTTGCGAACACATATTTTGCCGACGTCAACATTAATGCTAGAGGCGTTTCAGTCTTGAATAATAATTTGTCACATCCCGTATGCAATTTCTGCATATATTGTAAATACTACTTCAGATCCTGCAGAATGCAGGAAAACAATAGAAACAGGTACGTAGCCATGTGAAATTGTTTCCGTAATAGAAAAGTTTAACGGAACCACTCAACCAACAACCCCCCTGTGTGAAAAATTGGTCAGTGGATTCCCACGGTCATAAAATACAAGTTAATCAGCCGCCTTTTGATTCCACCTATAGGAGCAGCAATATTTGCAAACTGTCAAACAGAAGTAGTCATCAACGAATGACAGCTTGTGATAAAAATGGCAAGTAACGGATCCGTATTGGCATCCGGTCTGACCGGAAGTACCTCGAGCAAGATTTTTAAGTAACACGCATTGTATACATTTTGGCAGTCCTTAAGCGGTCAAACGACGAATGGAATGACTATGTTTGGTATGATCTCTATTGGACAAATCAACCCAATTCGCCGAATTTCATTGTACATTGAACTGTACATTGAATTGTACACTGAACGGTCTAAATTCGCCTACATTAGGCTGGTAACTTAAGCAAACCTACTGCGAAATATCCACCATAGTGAGCGATAGATGAAAAGCCTTTCCGAATGGAAATATCCCCAGTACCTAAATTTGTCAGCGATGTGCCAGGCAGACCGCACAGAATGCAAAAATAAGTTCTTACAAAATTTCGACCGCCGCTCATTATCAGTTAAATGAACTGAATGAAAGGTCTTCATTAGGTGAGAATATGTCATCTCTTTTGCGTCGACAATTTCTATGGAAAGTTTTCGTAAGACGCGGACGAGGGACAGACGTAGTGGTTAAGACAAACGTCGGGAGATTACTGAGAAGGCAAAATAATTGTCTTCAGTCGTCCTAGCCCACCTTTAGCTTCTCTTCTGCACCAACAGGGCCACACCTTACCCGGCGATGTTTTTGCCCGATGACACTGTAATCAAGCCCTTATTTATATAATTAAAGACTATTTGTATTCTCACTGTTCTACTTAATATTGCAATGCAAACTGCAATATATTGCTTAGACACCGCACTTCAGTTGTACAAATTTCGACCCTTTATTTATCCACTCCCTTGTCATTTCATCCAACAACTACAGCATAAATGCGCATACCTAGCCAATGG